CTCTCAAAAAAAAAAAAAAAAAATATATATATATATACTGTCTAGGCCTTTATAGGAAAAGTTTGCCAACTCTAGCTCTGGAATCTAGATTGTCCTCCCTTAGAATACCAGACACTTAATTAGGAAACACATTACTTTGTTTTTTTCCTAAGTGGTATCCTGTCTAACATGCTTTCTCTCTAATCCCTGCAGGTACCAACCAAGAAGCTGAAGAAATATGAGAAAGAATATCAGGCAATGCGAGAGAGTCAGCTGCAGCAGGAAGACCCAATGGATAGATACAAGGTATGGGAGGCACTTGGCGCCTGTCAAAGCAGCAGTGTGACAAGTTCAATTCCCTGTATTTCTCCTTGCCTGCTTTAGACACTCTCTGGTCATGCCAACTGTCCAGGTATGTTGTTATTTCAGGAGACTCCTAAGTAGCCAAACATAATATTTCTTCTCTTTCAGTTTGTATATTTGTAGGTAACTGCAGCTGTTGCATTTATACGGGGAATCTTCATAAGAAGCTGAGAGAAAGAGAGGGAAAAAGAGAGAAAGTGGCTTTCTGCTTTCAAAAATGAGGAAAAAAAGGAAAATGGCAAAATACGGTCTTAACTGTGCCTGGTCACATCCACAAAGACTTTTAGAAGGTGAACTATTCCAAGACTGGCACAAGGATATTTGAAACTTACCTCTGTGTGTAGCAAATGTTAAAAATACAAACTCACTTGAAAGGAAAAATAAAAACCACAAAGGTATATGGAGCATAGTAATGGTGTTTGTTGCAACATTTATTTCCACAAATGAATATAGGAATAACAGTGACATTTGACTTACAGGTTGTAGTTTCAGAATCAAATGATTTTAGATTAATATCTTAAATTGTGGTGTTTTTTTTTAAAGTAACCATTTATGAGGATCAATCTCTTCCATGATAATTAGCAACACTCTGCCCAGGGTACAGTGTTGGGAAATACTGATTTCCAACTTTTTAAATGAAATATTGTAGTCTCTCTTAATATGTTTTAATTTTACTAACTCATACAGATGAGTAACAGTTTCCCCTCCCCCCCACATCAGTTCAGTAAGGTAAAAGAATATTGTGTTTTCTGCACTGAGTTCCAATGCTAAAATGTTCTACCAAGAAAAGTACTGTGGTGGCATTATTAAGTCACCCACAGTGAGGTGACTTCCACTTTGTAACTAGGATTGCCTTTATGTGGCCAGAGAGCTGAATATGGGCAGTGCAGTCACACAGTCCATCTTGTCTCTGTTGCTGAATTTAAGAGGCACACGGTAGCAGGAGTATGTGGATTTTGTGGTCAGACAGACCTGCATTCAAATCCTGCTCTTTTTTTTTTTTAGAGCACAGAATTTTGAATCCAAGTTGGGGGGTTTAATCCCTATGCCACTGTTCACTATTTTGGGCTATGTCTTCCTCATCTGTAAAGGGGGTAATATACACAATTCCTTAACAGATTATTGTGAATATGAGGGGTGTCGTATGTTACTCAGCACATTCTTTGGTGTTCAATAAATGGTTGTTATTAGTTTTATGAAACCTCCTACTATGAATTATCCAAGTTTTACTAGAATAATATTACTTGATTTGGGTCTGTCCCTCCAGTCCCTCTTTCATCATCCTCATATTTCTCCCAAGTATTGCTACCCAGCGGTCTCCTCTTGTTTATAGGACTGCCTCAAGAACTGATAAAATCCTGGCTTGGCACCCATAGCTCAGTGGTTAAGGCTCCAGCCAGAAACACCAAGGCTGGCATGTTTGAACCCGGCCCAGGCCTGCTAAACAACAATGACAACTATAACAAAAAAATAGCCAGGCGTTGTGGTGGGCACCTGTTGTCCCAGCTACTTGGGAAGCTGAGGCAGGAGAATCAGTTAAGCCTAAGAGTTTAAAGTTGCTGTGAGCTGTGATGGCACTGCACTCTACCAAGGGCAACATATTAAGACTCTGTCTTTTTTTAAAAAAAAAAGAAGAACTGATAAAATCCCACCTTCTGCTATTGTAGATAACTGTTAACCAGTACAGTGCCAAAAGATATGGTTTGAAGCTAATTCCCAGCATCACTATCCCCTCAGTACAACTGATTTATATGTAAGTCACGTAGCATGCTGCTTTAGAAAGGCTTGAAGGTAGTAATTATAGAATAAATATTATTGAGCATCCAGAATGAAGCTTTCCTACTGCTTGTATCTTTCCAATTTTCTTATTGCTGCTGTCATTATGCATAAAATCTGTGAAGAGTGCTTTAAAATCAAAGAGAGCAAGGAAGCACATTTAAAAGCAAACTTGTTATTGTGTCTGAAATCCTTTTGACTTCAAAGCAGGTATGTATAAATAAGTAGTATGAAGCATATTTTTTAAGTACTTATTACATATAACCTGTAAGACGGTCAGTGTGTATAGTTTTTATTGAGGGATCACAAGTAGAATTATACTTTTTCTGTTTTTAAAGCAGCTATTTTAAGTTCAAATGTTTTGGCTTCTTAATTGCACATTTCAGATCTTTCTTTTGTATTATTATTATAATAAGTTTGTCAACACATTAGCTAAGTAATATCTCTGTACCCTTTTTTCTATACTGTTTTAATAACGTTCAGGCATTTTTCCTGGTGATATACTTGGCAAATTCATAGTCTTCAACTTGTAATTACATTTTCAATGTGTCAATTAACAACACAGTTTCCAGCTATTAACAGATTGAGTTTTTTAGATGATCAATATGTAGTTTTAGAAGCTAATTATAATTATCTTCCTTATAAATTCCTTTTGTAAAACTAAAAAAAAGAAACTAATTATAATTATCTTAATTAGAGTTGTAGTGTATCTCAGAAAATATCTTTTATCATTTTCTAAATTTAATCCCATCAAGAATAAGATCTCTGTCCTGGGAATGAGTGCTTTGTTTGTAATTTATAAGTCTGAGACTAGCAGTCCTACTAATGAAAGCTCTTAAGACTAATTTAGGGGCTCAGCGCCTGTGGCTCAAGCGGCTAAGGCACCAGCCACATACACCTAAGGTGGCGGGTTCGAATCCCCAGCCCGGGCCCGCCAAACAACAGTGATGGCTGCAACCAAAAAATGGCCAGGCGCTGTGGCGGGCGCCTGTAGTCCCAGCTACTTGGGAGGCTGAGGCAGGAGACTCGCTTGAGCCCAGGAGTTGGAGGTTGCTGTGAGTGTGATGCCATGGTACTCTACTCAGGGGGATAGCTTGAGGCTCCGTCTCAAAAAAAAAAAAAAAAAGACTAATTTAGGAAGATCTTTGAGGGCACTGAGAACTTGTTCAGTAACAACCTCTCTTCAACATTAGAATTTATACTGCTTGAAATGCCATGTCAATGCCCCCCTAGCTTGCCAGCTGACAAGAGAGTTGGGAAGATTATGGGAATTTTTTTAAACATCATACCATAAGATGTTCTAAGAAATATTTTAGTTCAAAGCTATTTCTCTTAGACATGGTGGCATACATTAAAAAGGCTGTTACACGGGAGCCAGAGGGGGACTGAAGATCCCACAATGTAGAAGTAGCCCTCAGCAGTCACACTGTTTGCTTTGTCTATTTTTATGGCAAAAGAAATATCTACATTCTCAGGTTGTACCTTTGTACTCACTTACTTTCGCCAACACTTAAATCTTAACTACGAAGAAAGAGATGAAATAGGGCTGGCATAAATTTAAATTTTAAAACCCTAACCATCATGAATATGTCCTCGAATTAGGTAGCAGTGATGATTGTACAACTTTGTGAATATACTAAAATCACTGAATTATACATTTTAGAAACATGAATTTTATAATATGTGAATTACATCTCCCAAAAAAAATGCCTCTAAGCAAAATCCAGAATGTTCCAAGCGGATGTATCTGGCCCACTTTCTTCTTTTTGTGAACCCCAAGTCACAACAGAAGTATTCATGTAGAAGACGTATTTGTGGGAAGGAGACTCACCTATTGAAATTGGAGTTAATAATGACCAATGATCTTATGTCTACCCCTATTTATAGAGGAAAAGCCAACAAAAGTGGATAGTGCATTCATTTTTAGTGATACCAATTAATTTCCAAATAGAATATATGTTATAGATACACACACATATACATATATAAGTAGTAATACATATACACACTACCTGTGCTACCTAGTCTTGGCACCAGATTGTATTTGAAACTCAGGGAACCCCACAATTACAGCCTTTAATGTACTCCTTCTGCTTATTTTCATGACTAGATTCAAAGAGACAGAAAGGAAATTTAATTGGAAGAAGAATACAGAGTATTCTAAATCTCTTTTTTGTCATCCTTCTTAACTTGGATCTAGCTAAATTTGTGTAATATTTGTTTACTCTGATATTTTGATTTGTAAATTTATTGACTGATTTCACATGATAAATATTTGGCGATAGAAATACATCAAATATATTTTCATTTTTTACAGGTTTCCAGAATGTACACATTCATCAATATATGTAGCTATTTTAGTGTAACCTAAAAATAAGTAACAAATAAGCAGTTAGCAATTTCAGAAAATAAAATACTATTTTCTCTCTTAAGGAAATGAATTGTTTCCATCATGGGAGAAGGTAGTTTTCTAGTGACATAATCAATTGATAGTACTGTTTAGAGCACTGAAGCCTTTGTCTACCTTTAGAGAATGATATCCTTTTCTTATTTAATTAAAGAACTACTTGCACAAATGTGGGTTAAGACTTAAAAAACACAGCTAATTAATTAAATTCAGCAAATCTCCCAAAGCATAATAAAGGTTACCTGTTCTGTATAGGAAAATACTAGAAACAATCTGGAATGTTTAAACTCTCTGGGGTTTGGGACACAGATGGTATTATAATACATAATTTCTAATTGAATTCTCCTATCCATGTTCAGTATAATTAAATTTGGAAGGTTTAACTTCTTTCTTTGAAATTAGTTAGACATCATAATTATTTTTATCAAAATGTAATTGAAACAGAAAGAAAATGATTCCTCTTAAGTTTACACAAAGTTTTTTTTTTTTTTGCATGTACTGATTGTTGTAGAGCAGTTGTCCCAACATGAAATTTAAAGTTAAGCTATTTAGTTATACATAGTAAAAGTAGTACAAACAAAATATTTGAAGTAAAACTTAATTATACTTTTTTGCCATCCTTAGGTATCTAATGAAATGATTTAGGACAATTAATTACATTTTTTATAACTTGACAAATGAAGTTTAACTTATGCCAAATTTCTTACCTGTTAAAAAATGGGGGGAGGACACCCCCACACACACATGTTGGGCCCTTTTT